GCTTCATTGGTGGTACCATCTGAGGTTATTCTAGTTACCAAATACTTGATGCTTGAATTTTCAATTCACGCTCTGGTTGGATGCTAAATATTTTCGTGATTTAGTTTTAAAGATAGTGTCTGGGCCAAACTAATACTCAAGGGAACTTATACATGCCACATAAGCACATGCCTTGCCTACAATTTTCGCATAAAGAAAATACGTCGACTCAAGCCTAGGGCTTACGAGGCACAGATCTTCTAAGACAATGAGCCGAACATTTACCAAAAAAAAAGTACTTGTCCTGTTTTGTAGAATTTTTAATAAACAAAATATATAACTTAAGATACACATAAATTTACTGATTCAACTAATTTTCTGAATTTATCATACTTAGGAAGAAATTCTATTGCTAAATTACAATATTTATGTTTAAAATAATATGCGAAAAAATGTATTGAGAAAGAGATCTATACTGAAGCAAGTTGCATTTTAGAGAAAATGTTTTATGTTAAAAACACATATCCTAAATTAAAACCCATTTTAGACTCATTTTCAATGAAAAATAATTATTTCCTGTGTAACTTCAAATATTTAATGATACCCTTTATTAATCAAAGGAAGTGCTGTATAGCATTTATACGATAAATGTCTACATATGTTGCTTTGATATTACATATCAGGCATATATATACACTTGTTCAAAACTTCATTTAATATCAGTATTAAATTTTATTGTTCGCATTTACATTACTTTTATCACCCGCTCAAATTAAATGTATAGTTATTTTATGAATAGTGTTAAAATGAGTCAGAGAGTCTGAGTTAGAAGTATAAGAAAAATCAGTGTATTATATCTTTTATTATATTAATAAAAGTTATTCTTCACTTGGAGCACAGACAAGCCTAAGATAGTAAAAACTACGGATTTTTATTCTGTGTTTTAAAAAACTAGGTGATTAAGAAAAAAAATATTAAGCATTACTTGATTTTTGTTAAAATTGCTAACGTTTAGCTTAATTTCATACAATTAAGCAAAAAAAAATATATTTGGATAAAAAAATAGCTCAAGACATATTTCTACGAATATTTCTTTACATTGCAAATTCACTAGGTAATTAAGTTCAACAATTTTTAACCGAGCTTCTAAAAATGCTTATTCCATTTTTCACTGGAATACCACGATGAGACTCAAAAAGAAATATTTTTATGGGTTTTTCTTTTATTTCCTCTCTTCACTTTATATCTTCAAATCCCTTGATTGTCATTTAGAACTTTATGTCTTAGTCGATATTTGTGTTGCCACAGTCGAATGCCGTTTTAGTAAAAAGCGTTTCTTTTTAATTCTGCACCTTTAGTTTTTTATTTTGATATTTTTTTACGAAAACTTCGACTGCTTTCTTCGTTTTTATATCTCAAATAAAACTTCGAATGTACTACAGATATCAAATCTTTTTTGGAAAAGAATGGGTATCAGAATTTTGTACGGAGAGGAGAAATATGATCTTTTTATGAAACAGTGTTAACTATTTGTTATTCAATCGTTGAAAGAGAGATTCCATTATCTGTTTATCCATTCGAAGGAAAGAATTTTTTTTAAACGAATCGAGTTATTTTTTTATGTTTTATTCAGATTTTGAACTAGTTTTTCAATCATTCGCTTTCATAGCATATTTTTTTCTTTAGAAAATATTGTGACATAATGTTCAAGAATATAACAAAGAACGATTACACTTTTAAAAGTACTAAGAGGTACTAACAATATTTTTGAGTACGTCGCATAAATGGTTTTGTTAGAATCAGTACTATTAATCCTTTATAATACGCGGTGCACACTTTTTAATTTTTAAATTTATAAATGAATATTCTATTTTATTCCACAAATTATCTATTTCAAATTCGTATATATTGCATCCCAAATAAGTAATAGCAGTCCAAGTTATTGAAACTTTTTAACATAAGTACGTCTTAAGGAGATTCACCCATGTGACGCCCTGCTTTTTAAGCATTTTTAGAGAATTTTTTTGACGACCAGTAAAAAAATAGAACTTTAAGTTTTTTTTATCATTTATTTATATGTATTTTAAGTGTATATTTATAAATGTTTAACCAAAATTATCCAACAGAAAGTGAGTTACAGCGATCTAAACACACCCGCCTCGAAAAAATGGACGCTCACTTCCTCCACGATTTATATGAAATAAAAAAAATAATAACTGTGTTTTAATCTATAAGCTTAAATGCAGAGAATGGACTATACTCAATTGAAATATCAAAAATTGGGTTTTTGTTAGAAGTCTAAAGAAAATAATTCGAATTTTACGAGGGGTTTTTGTAATGTTTTTAGTATAAAAATAGAAATATTTTGAATTTTGGAATGATCGTACTCCATTTGGTGCGCATATATGTGCTGAGTCTACCCAATAAATTTGAAGTCATTCGTTCAAACCGTTCTTGAGATATGATGGAGAAAAATTTGAAAAACACAGTTTTGAGAAAAACGCGTTTAAAAAGTTTCAAATCGGATTAAAACAATGAAAATCTTAACTTACCCTCAATCGTCGATGACTGGTGGTGAAGACTAAAACGAGTTCGACGAAATGTTCAGTAACTGTGAATATTTCCTTTTAAACCTCTACAAACTTGACTATACTTGTATGAACGTATATTTGCATAGAAGACCCATTGTTATCAAGCCGACTGTACACATAGGCCCAGCCTTCAATTGCCAACATAGCGCTCCGAAAAGCTGCTCTTCTAACACTTGCTTCTTTGTAACGATTTCGAATTTTAAAAAATCACTTTACCACCGTATTCTAGACATGTTAAGAAAGCAATTTATGGGGAAGAAAGTTTTGGTTTTTTGAGCCCATCACATGAGTGAGCCCCCTTAATAAAATGTTTCATAGGTTTAAATTATAATAAAAACCTTATTTATGTTATAATTTCTAAAATTTATGCTGCCTTATTATATCTAGGATGACTAAATAATGTTTTTCAGAAAAATGTAACATACTTAAAATAATTTACGCATAACAAAATTGTTCATACCAAGTATGCAAATATTAAACTTTTCAAGGAATATATATTAACTTTGGTAATAGCACGCATTTCTACAGCGCAGTTAGCATTGTTTTAACTGACAATAAATGCAAACTCTGTTTATCTGTTGGCATTATACTTATCTCGTTACAAAACAAATAATATCATTAATATGTACTCCAATACCTTATGACAGCTATGCATCATAGAATGCTGTATAATTCTGAGAATGGAAGGTCATGCCGAGTAATAGGCTGCTAAATACATCATACGTACTAGGTCCAGCAAATATTCTAGAAGCAACTATTGCTGAAAAAAATTCAGGGCTGGAATGAAGGTTTTGAAAGGTCAGGGTACGTGGATACGAGGCAAATTAAGTTATTGTGCACCAGGCTCAAACTGTCGCAATGGCTACATTATCAGCTATCTATTGTATAAGGGTTGACCAAATAAAAAGTGCACAAGTTCAATGAAAATAAATATTTTAATGGAAAACGAAATAAAGCGCTCTGATGGTTTTAACACAGGTACTATCGTTTCGACAGCAGGTCTATCTCTTCTCTCTAGAAATAACGTGTTTGATTCTTGAGGAAGTCATCACTTTATCATCCAAAAAGAATTTAAAAAATACTGTTTTAAGAGGAAAGAAAGTAATACTGTTTTAAGTGGCCTAAGGGCCTAGAACTCACAAGGCAGAAATCAGGACTGTAAGGGGTCTGTACTAACATTTCCCAACAGATTCTTTATTTGCTATGGTTTCATAAAAGACGTGAGGGCTTACATTGCCATGGAGATCCGGTGAAATGTCTGTTGCCTTCTCGAAACATTTTAAGGGACAAGTGAATTAAATATATTAGTTGAAGATATATTTTATTTTGTGCTTGGGGACATAATGACACTATGATACCACTTATTCATTCCCTTCCTATTACTGGCATAGCACTTAAAGATCAGAAGGTAATTCTAGGTTCTTCAACGCTCAAATTTCTAGGGACAGGACATTCGTGCTCCTGTTAATCTTACTTTGTAAACCAGGTTGCCAGAACCTATAACAATCGCTTATGTATGATGCATGACGGTTTTTTCAATTTCGCACAATCTGAAATTTTGTTCATTTTGAAAAACAGTTGCTAAATTCCTTCAGAATTGATAACAGGATTTTAATAGGATATTTCAGTAAACTATATAGCTGTATAAAAAAATCCTCGGCTCCAAAAAGGTTACCCCAAGTTCTGGTTTAACATTTGTTGTTCTACTGAATGTTATTGAAGATACTTAATTTTTGAATCATTTCTTACAATATTTTACCTATAAATAAATCTTACACAAGTTCAATATCTTAAAAAGGCTTTTTCTCTCTCTTGAAAAAGCGCGTAATATTAAATATCTAAAAGGTTAGTCGTGTTTTATTACATTAAAAATAAGTACCGTAAAATCTGGTGTATAATGCGCACCTATATTTTAAAGCTGCATTTTTTAAAAAATTTTAGGTAAATTTGTCATATAATGCTAACGCGCAACGCATCCCTCTCTGTGTATATGTATATATATATATATATATATATATATATATATACAGGAATGAATTCCCTTCTCAAATGGAAAGCAGCACACCCCTTCTGTTATATGCAGGGATCGTCGTTTGTAATAAATATCTATATTCTTCGGTTTGTATTGTATTTTTCTGTTTCTCCATCTGTTGTCTTCCATATGTATTTAGGATAAAAAACACACACGATTATTATATATATATATATATATATATACTTGTTCAAATCTTCAATCGTCAATAAAATACATTCTATTCAACCATTCGAGTTCAAATACATTTCTTAAACTTGTATGGATGACACTAAATATTAATACAGTTTTTTTTTTCAAATATCAATTCATTGATTAAACTAAAAAATAAACAGAGAGTAACAAACAAATTAATAATCCAACAGTATATATAGATAAGAAAATCATTCATTACAAATATGTAGCGCAATACATAGCGTGTTGGTCTTCCCATCCAAAATCGTGGGTTCGAATCCGACCGGGGATGGGTGGATTTTACAGAATGTGATTTTTAGCGTGTTTTTCACGTAGTGGAACAAAAGCGCTATTAGGACGCAAATTTCGTCTTCGTCTTCGCTCCATATTTTGTCGTACCTTTTTCTCAGCCAATAAGCAACCAATTGACCTCGTGTTTTCGGCATTTGGTCGCATTTGTGCCCTAGATGAACCGAATCATACTTTCTGTTAGTAAAAAGTTCATTAGTTGCATTATTGTAAAATACAACATGGTAAAAAGGCGCTAAGATTACTTGGTCATGCCAATGATTGATATCTTGTTTTTACTCTATACCATTTTCTTAGAAAAACTAAATTTAAAATGAAAAAACAAACAAAAAAGTAACAAACAAAAACAATAGTGGAACACCATGTGTAAAAAGGAAAATCGCTTTAAATTTGTTCATTTAATATTTTGATTCGGTCATATGTGTGTATGCTCATCACTTTTTTAATATTTAAAGTTATCATTTTTTATACAATGGGCACCCGTAAATTTTAATCTTATTTTTTTGTTAAAAGTGCGCATTATACCACGGATTTGATTCAAAAAGGAAGCAATTACTCTTGTCAAACAAGACATTTCATCAAAATCATGTTATGTTCTTAACACATATAATATTGTTTTCAAAATTATTTCAATATTTTTATAGAAATAAACTTCAAACTACACATATTTTAATTTTTTAATTATTTCTTTAAAAAAAAAATATTTTACTTTAGCTTTTATGCATTCAAATGTTTCGATCCACTTGAAAATAAAATAAGTATTATATGTAATAACTGTCAAATAGGAAAAAAAATATTTAAAAAAATTTGTGGTTAGTCCTTTTTTTAAAAATGTATTTGTCATTCCAGCATTAGTAGACAATGCAATAAATACTACCCATGCATTTATTTACTGAAAAGTTTTTTTTAAAAAAAGATTAAATTACTTCAACATTGTTAAATAAAAATCCATTGCTTGTTTCCTTTCATATGTCTTTGAATTACATTTTTTTTAGAAATAAATTGCTTTGATAAATAGTAACAACAATTTCTTGGAGACTAACTATTAGGATGAAATAGTTAACAGCAACAAGAGTAACAGCACAAGAAAAAACGTAAAAATACATAATACAATACATACCTATATAAAGAAATAAACTTTGAATGTAACTTAAACCAAAGAAAATAACTGCCTTTTCATCATTCTTTCCTGTTTGTTCTTTATAGAAAACAATTCGTGTAATATTTCTCATATTTATTTTATACCTTACGTACCTTGCTTTAGTGTGGCATGCGTCTCACAAATTTTGTATTTTACTACATGTGTGTGTTAAAAACCTTAGTGTAAACAAAAAATAGTAATAAATTTCTTTTAAAAAATTCAAGTTACTGTGCCAAGGTTTATCTGATAGAATAATTAGAACATTTATATTTTAACATATATTTAAAATCTTAATTTCATCTTTAAACTAATTAAAATCATACCAACTTTGTTGCATTTCTATAACAGCAATTTAAAAATATTTTTTTTAAATAAAAAAAAAATTCCAAATTTTTCTAATTGAAAAAAGCAATATTTTTATTTGAAAAGTTTTGTTGAGATATTATAATCTATGTGCAAATATTTTTTAATTTTTATAATGATTTAAATTTCGATGATTTTAGTAAGCATTTTTTTATTAGTATTGTTACATTAAATAATAAAAAATAGCATGTATAACATAATGATCAAATTATATGAATTTTTTTGTGTTTAATTTAAACTATTATGATTCCATTTTTGTCTACTTGTGAAAGCTCATTGAAAAATGAAAAATATTTTCTTAGCTACTTAAAATATATATTTTTATCATTTTTTATGCCCACAAATTTTACAGTCCGTTACTTTTAACTTTTTTAAATTCTAAAGCAAACTTTGCGATTCAAAGGATTTGATCAAAAATACAAAAGTATTAACATTTATCCCAGTGTATTCGATTTAAATAATTCGTTCGTCTGTGTTTACTGGTAGCATTGTAAAATTATGGAGTTCATTATATGAAAAAGTCTTCCACAAACATAGATGTTTCGCATGTGAATTTAAAAATCATAAAAATTATTCTTTGATGCAGTTACATTTTTTCTTTAACTGAATTAGTAGTAACTGAGTAAGCTTAAAAATAATACTAGAATATATAAGTATAGCTGGAATATATAAGTGGATGTTAAGTTTTAAGTTTCGCAACCCGGTAAAGTGTTGAAATTTGAGCGAAGAAAAAGATTTTTTTAAACAAGTGCTCATCTTATGCATCTGAAAATGTACACATAATCCTTCTACATAAGTCATTATTTTGTAGAAAAAAATTGTCGTAATATTTATTCAAATAAATTTTAGAAAAAAATGTGCACAATGTTTCATTATTTTTAAACATTCATCATGGAGCTTCACATATGATTTTAGTCGTAAGGAAAGCTAACCATTTATTAAAAATCCATATTAAAATAATAATAATAATATTGCAATAAATGGAAAAAATTGGTGACTATTTGATCATCTTACTACTTTATCTATTTGATGAACTTTTCCAACATACATCAATGCTGAAAATTCTCCGATAGAGAAGAATTATGTTTGAATTAAAGTTTTAATACATTCAAATATGTTTAATTATTTATTGATGGTGTCTGGCATCCATTTTCCTGAATTAATATGAACGTAAAGTTATCATTTCTCATAAAATATTGGGTGTAAAAAAAGTTTTGTTGTTTTTTTCCTAAAGAAAAAAAAACATTTTTTTAGCTTTTTATTTAAAATGTATTCTAAAATATAATATCCCTTGACTGTTACAACTGACTGCTAGCTTTCTGACTGCATATTTATCCCTCTGGAAAAAGAAGTTCTCTGTTTTGGAGACAAAGTTTTCTTAAGCTGCCATTTGGACACCTTTATAATTTATATATTTATTTCTATCAAGTAAGTTTCGCAGCGACCTGTGTGAACAAATAATAGTCAAATAGTGTTACATGAAGAGTATATGTTGGCTGAGTTAAACTTTCTCCCAACTCAACTCTGCAATTTTGCAAGCGATGTTTCTTTCCACGTGTAGTCTAGCGTTGACGTGATGAAAAATGACACTCTTTCTGTCGGTCAAAGATGGACGTTTATATTTGAATTGCGGAATTTAAAACATCAATTTGAGAACAGTAACGTCCGTTTTATTTTCTTTCAGCAACTCATAGTGCGCTATACCCTCTGTCTCGCCAACAACACAGCATAACCTTCTTCTGATGCCCGCCAGCTTTCGATGTGAATGGTAGTATCTCCCATTGTAAATATATACTTTTTTGCTAACCACGTGTTTGTACACTATCCACTTTTTATCTCCAGTCACCAAGTGGTCCGAAGATGGTTCCGTTTCTGACGAACACGATTTGAAGTACATATATAATTTCTGTCCATTAATTTTTTTTACTTAATTCTTGTGGCACCCAAACAGAGAGTTTGCACACGAAACCAAGCCTTTTAATGTAATCCAAAGCAGTAATCTAATGAATATCAAGCTTGAAGCCCACTTCTATGGGAGTTAATGAGCGATTTGTCCCTATCATATTGCACTGACATATGGTGTTCTTCCTGATCTGAGTTCTTTTAATGAAAAATCTCCTAAGTAAAATTTTGCAAACCCTCTTTCGAACTGTTACTCATTATTCTTCAAACACGTCACATCAGTTTCTTTTTGACCTCATCTCGTTATTCTATTTTTGGGACTTTAAAAACATACAATTAAGTAAACATTTCCTTCACTCATATTGACAGTATTACAAGTTTTAAAAACTGACTAAAATGCATAAAAAATGTTTTTAAATCATCAATAGTATACTAAACTAACTGCCCAAAACGATTTCATTCAGATCCGTTTTTTCTAAGAATAGATAACGCATAAAAGTACACCTGTTCAAAAACGACAGAACTTTCCCTTATACCCAATAAAAATTTTTTAGTATAATTTAACTACATATTAGATTTATAATTTTTTTATCTAAATGCTTGTATATAAAAATTACGTTCACAAGAAATTAGAAAAAATAATAATGTATTAAACTACAAAATAATTTGTTTCAACACAGTAATAATTATAATTGTAATTTTATTTTTCATTCAATCAGTAACGGTAGCAAGTTGATCTAATAATGCGTTAATACTCTAGAAATACCTATCATCTCATCAAATGAAGTATGATGGTTGCATTTTAAGAACGACTTTCGTTCAACTTCCTTCATGCATTAGTACGATAGTCTCAAAATTGAGCTACTCATCGAAGAGTATCAAATGCTTAAAAATATAATATATTATAAAAAAATATGTTTAAATCGTTTAAGTTTACGCATTAACTTTTAATTGAAATGTAACAACTATTTTGAATACAAAAATCATGAAACTTTTTTTTCGTACAGTTTTAGTAAAATATTATAAAGTTTTCAAAACTTATATCAAAAGATATTTTTAAAACCCTTACAGATGTTAAAAAAATTAATATAATACGATAGTGCATGAGTGTGCATTTCCCCCATATATTTAATCTTGAAAAAAGGGGGGAAATGCTAGGTAGATCACTTAGAAAGCAAATAAGCTGTGAGGGAGAGTAAAATGGGTAATAAATAATCCAGATTTTTTAAAGCATATTTGGTTTTGAGCCAGATTGAAAATTAAATGAAAATTCAATACAGGATACTGATGACAGGTAAGTGAAAAATATCTAAAGTTAAATAATTTTCTTATGAGGTTAACATCTTTCTTTTGTAAAGAAATTGGAGCTATTGTATCACGAAAAATTTTAAATTCTTAGAAATTTAAGATTATTTGGGAGTAGTTGAAATCTCTGTAACGAGTTTGATTTATGATTTTCTTTAAAATATCTTAACAGTTTATGATACAATTTGTGATGATGATATTACAATACCTGAACTAAAATTGCACATTTTTTTCCTACCCAAAATATTGCTTCTTAATGTATGAATGCATTG